CATTCATGAAAGAAATCAAAAATTTCTAAATAAATGAAGAGAAATACCATGTTCATAAATTGGAAAACTCAATTTTGTTAAGATGTCAATTATCCTCAAGTTGATCTATAGATTAAACACAGGATTAAAAATCCTAGCAGAATTTTTTGTGGCTATCAGCAAGCTGATTCTAAAATTTATACAGAAAGGCAAAAGAACTAAAATAGCTAAAACAATTTTGAAAAAGAATAAAGGTGGAGAACTCATATTACCTGATTTAAGACTTATTTTAAAGCTATAGTAATCGAAATTGCCCCCTACCCCCTAAATCCCCCTGAGCCCCTATTTTTGGGGAAGCGGATTTGAGAGTTGTTCTCTCGTTTTCCTCACTTGGCGGCCTTGTGATTAAATCCTCTCTCTCTGTAAAAATAAATAAATAAATAAATAAATAAAGCTATAGTAATCGAGACACTGTGATCTTGGTAAAAGATAGACAAATAGATCAACGGAACACAAGATTCTAGAAAGAGACCCACACAAAAGTAGTCAAACGGTTTTTGACCAAGAGACAAAGGCAATTCAATAGAGAAAGGATAGTCTTTTCAACAAATGATCATGGAACAATTGGACAAACAAATGAAACTCAACTCAAACCTCTCTGTACAAAAATTCAGTAAAAACAGGGGCCGGCCCCGTGGCAGAGCAGTTAAGTGGGCACGCTCCGCTGCTGGCGGCCCAGGTTCGGATCCCGGGTGCTCACCAAAGCACCGTTTGTCGGGCCAGGCTGTGGTGGCCTCCCATATAAAGTGGAGGAAGATAGGCACAGATATTAGCCCAGGGCCAGTCTTCCACAACAAAAAGAGTAGATTTGGCATGGATGTTAGCTCAGGGCTGATCTTCCTTACAAAAAAAAAAAATTAACTAAAAAATGGAACACAGAACTAAATGTAAAATATAAAACTTGTAGGAAAAAAATAAGAGAAAATCTTTGTGACCTTGAGTTAGGCAAAGAACTCTTAGATACAATACCAAAAGTAAGAGCCATAAAAGAATATACTGCTACTTTGGACTTCATCAAAATTTAAAACATCAGTATTTCAAAAGACGTTGTTAAGAGAATAGAAAAGGCAAGCCACAGACTGGGAGAAAATCTTTGCAAATCACATATCTTACAAAGGACTATAAAGAACTCTCAAAACTCGACAATAAGAAAATGCAATTTTAAAATGGGTAAAAGATATGGACACTTCACCAAAAAAGATATACGGATGGCAAATAAGATGATGAAAACATGCTCAACATCATTAGTCATGAGAAAACCACAAATAAAAACCACAATGAGATATTGCTACATACCTATTAGAATGACTGAAATTAAAAAGACTGACCATACCAAGTGTTTATGAGGATGTAAAGTAACGAACACTCATACATTGCTGGTGGGAATACAAAGTGGTTTAGCCTCTTTGGAAAAAAATTTAAAGCGTATAGTCTCCTACGCTGCTGTAACAAACTACCATTTAATGGCTTAAAACAACACAAACGTAGTATTTAACAGTTCTGTAGTTAAAAGTCTGACACAGGTCTCCCTGAGCTAAAATCAAGGCTTTGGCAGAGATGCCTTCTTCTCTGGGGGCTCTAAATATTAAACCATTTCCTAGCCTTTTCCAGCTTCTAGAGACTACATTCCTTAGTTTATGGCCCCGCTCTTCCATCCTCAAAACCAAGAACTCTGCACCTCTCTGGCCCTGCTTCCATTGTTACATCTTTTTTTCTGGCTCTACTGCTTCTCTCTTTTCCTTTTAAGGACCTTGTAATACATCGGGCCCACCTGGATAATCTAGTATACTCTCCCTATTTTAAAGTCAGTTGATTAGCAACCTTAACCCCACGTGCAATTCACCTTTGCCAAGTAACCTAATTTACTCACAAATTCCAGGGATTAGGACATCTTCGTGGGCCATTATTCTGCCTACCACAGACACTAAAATAAAGTTAAACATACACTTATCACATGACCCAGCAATTCCACTTCTAGGTGCTGACCCAAGAGAAATGAAGACTTACCCTCACACAAAAATCTGTCTGTAAAAATTTATAACAGCTTTATTCATAGTCCAAAAAAAAAAAAACAACCAACTGAAAATAACTAATGTTCTTCAACTGGTGGATGGATAAACCAACATCCACACAATGGAATACTACATTCAGCAATAAACAGAAAGAACTGCTGGTACACTCAACAAAATGGATGAACACTCAAATGTATTATGCTAAATGAAAGAAACCAGACTCAAAAGGCTAAATACAGTAGGATTCCATCTATATGATATTCTAGAAAACAAAACTATAGGAAAAGACAACAGATCACTAGCTGCCAGGGTTAAGGGTGGGGGAAGGGCTGATGACAAAAGAGCAGCTCAAGGGAATTCTGGGTGCTGGAACTGTTCTGTAACTTGATTTTGGTAGTTGCACAGCTCTATGCATTTGTCAAAACTAACGTACAAAGAGGAAAACAAATATATCATTTCTCACCTTTCCAATTGGCAAAAATTAAAAATATGACAACACCAATCTGACAATTCCAAGTGTGGGCAACAATGACTCATATACTTTTGGCAGGAATGTAAACTGTTACAACTTTAGAAGATAATTTGGCTGCAGCTAGTAAAGTCAAAAATACACATCAACCTATGACCCAGCAATTCCACTTATACCTAGGGAAACCTTCACACCTGTGCTCGAGGAGACATGCACAAGGGTATTTATTAAACACTGTCTGAAATATTGAAGAACTGAAAACAACCCTTCAGTAGGGGAATGAAGTAACTGTGGTTACGGTTATTAAAAAAAAGGAAAGGTGGGGGCCAGCCCCGCAGCCTAGTGGTTAAGTGTGCGCGCTCTGCTGCTGGCAGCCGGGGGTTCGGATCCCTGGCACGCACAGATACACCGCTTGTCAGGCCATGCTGTGGCGGCGTCCCATTTAAGTAGAGGAAGATGGGTACAGATGTTAGCCCAGGGCCAGTCTTCCTCAGCAAAAAGAGGAAGATTGGCATGGATGTTAGCTCAGAGCTGATATTCCTCACCAAAAACAAAGGAAAGGAAAAAAAAATGCATAAGGGAAAGAAATAACCCTGCTGGCTACATGTATGATTTTGAGAATGGTAACTTACTGGTTTATTTATTTAACAATAAAATATATAGTGAAAAGAGCACTGTACTTGGAATCTGGAGACAAGCATTTTAGCATTTAGGTCCAACTCTGCCACTAACTAGCAGTCAGACTATGGACCACTTAACTCTATAAACCTCCCTTTCCTTTTCCTGGAAAATGAAGAAGTTAGGCTATACAACCACTAAGATTATTTCCAACTCAACAATTCTATGATTCAATAAGTATATAATCAAAAATTATATTCTAAAGCACCTATGTTGAGAAACTATTTTTCCCAGACACCCTGAAATCAGAAACTATCAGAGAAACAGGGCATCTTAGTATATTGATACATAAAACGGATCAAATTTCTTAGTATGTCTGTAATGAACTCTTTAAACAAGATCATAATTCAGAAACAGCATATCAACAGCTCAACCGTATTGACTTGGGTCACTCAGGTAAAACTTACATATCCTCTCTCATTTTAACATTCTAAAACAAGTTAAAATTATTAAAGAGTCCATCTTTACTTGTCAAGTTCAGGTCTGTCTAGCCAAAAGTCATTCATGTATATGGTAAGATTTACTTGATTTTTTTAAACAAAGATAAAATGATGAATTGTTTTTCGTATTTTTGCCTGTTTCACGTATAAAGATCTTACATTATAATTTAATAGGTTCAGTCTGCTACAATTGTTTAAAGAGCCTTTTAAAAGTTGTAATATGCCATGTCCACAGGGATCTAGTAAAAAACAAATCAGTAGTTCATAATCCAAAAAAGCTCACTTAATTTCATTACCGTCAATGCTGATACTTCAAAGACACCAATGATCAACATGTCAATTGTTCCTATTGCAGAATTTAATAGGTTATTAATTTGTGGTATAATCCAAAAGCATAATCAGGATAATATCATTAAAACACGATATTACTTTTTTTAAATCAAAAATACTAACGCCTTTCACCTTTTCAGTAAAATTAAACTTTCAAAAATCTTGTTCTACAGGCTTTCCAAATCTAAATTCTTACAATGCTAAACGAGTACGGAAACAAAACACACACTATAGTCTATTTCTAAAAACCTCGTAGCTATCAGATTTTAATTTTAGCGCCAACTGCCAAGAAAAGCCTTTGGACGGAAACCTGAATTCCATACACATTCCTGTATGTCAATCAACTAAGCAGAAGGTGAGCTATTATTATTAGGAAGTTACATAATTTGCCCCCAAGATTGTTTAAAGCGCCTTTCATTAAATGCAGCTTACAACTGCATTACAATTTAGAGGCTTTAAAACTCACCTTGCCAATTTAGAGTAAATTATCAGAAACCATTAAGGAGATCAGGTTTTTCTTTAAAAGTGGACACAAGGAAGTAGAACTGATTTTTTTGTTTCAAGAACGCAATGAGCAGCTGAATACCGGGAGCTGAGTCAGGCAGAGAAACGATGACTACATTCCCTCTTCTAAAGGAAAGTGTGCGCCCGAAGATTCCCCCACCCGGCCTGGAGGAAGTCCCGGGAGTCGCGAACTCCGGGCGGGGGCGCAGAGGGCAGGCGCCTCCCTACCGCCCCGCTACAACTCGGGCCGGGCGGGCGGGAACCCCGCCAGCCCAAGTGGGTCCCTCGCCAAGGCAGAGGGAGCGGGCACGGCCAAGCAGCGTTCCTCTGTGGGACAAAGGTTGGGCTCACGCCCTCCGCAGCCGGCCGGGGCTCCTGCTGCCGGGGGCAGCGGCGGAGCAGTCCCGGTTCCCCGGGCCGAGCTCCCAGTGTGGGGGAGGGGGTGAGCCCGGCCGCCCCTCCCCCTCGGCTCCCCGGGACCTGTTGATTAAGATCTCCACACCGAGCCACCGCCAGTCCGCCTCCTACCTCCGCGCCACGGCGGCCGCCGATCCTCCGCCCCGGCTGCTCCTAAACACTGCAGGAAGGACAGCTCCCAGCGGCACTTAAAATACCAGATAAAGAATCCAGAAACTCCCGGATTCCCCACCTCACAACCCTTGGTCTCCGCCCCCCACAACTGCCAGTCGCCGCCGTCGCCGCCGCCGCCGGCGACTCCACCTCCAGACCGCGCGAGACCAGCCCCCGCGGCCGCCGCGAGACCGCGCACGCGCCCCCGGGACTCTGGCGCAGTGGGCGCGCCTATCCCAGTCCCTGCTCAGCGCGCCCCGCCCGCTGCTAGCAGAGAGGCTGGCGCGGTTCGCCCAATGCCGAGCCGGCGCGGAGAGAGGGCCCTGTCATTGGTCCGCTCTGGAGCTCCCGAGAGGCAGGTCGCGCGCCTCTAACTATATAAACCGCGAACTGGTTCGTGTGGAGGCACGTTTCCCGTTGAGCCATGCGGGCTGTGTTGTGTAGAGACTGTTTCCCTGGGACGTGGTGGGGAGCATGCTACCGCTCTACAGCCGTCGACTCTGCTCCCCTTGAATGACCGTCAGGTCCTGAAGAAAATCTGATTCCCCGTGAGGCGACTCCTCATGTCCTGTGAAGCACGCCACACAATCTAACATTTGTTTGCAAGAGAACCATGACATACTTAAACACCTGGATGTGTGTAGTGTCCCACGGAAGAATTCTCTGCTACTGCGGAAGACTCTAAAGCTAGCAGCTAGGACCGAGGTCTGAGCACGAGAAAAGGACGCCAGGGGCCACAGCTGCTTCACAAAACTCCGGTGAATGGATTTAGAGTTACCTGGGCAAACCCACATCCAGTGCAGTGAAATCCAGGTTCTCCAGGATTCCCTAGAAACTATTAGCCATATTAAAAAAAAAAAAAAAAATGTTAGTGTGTGTCACCTATTTCCTAAGTTTTTAAATGCATAAAGTAAATAACAATTCAAGAGGCTTCATCTAGTTCCTCAATGAATTTTCTTTCCTCTAGCTCAGGTTTTCTCAGCCTCAGCGCTATTGACCTTTGGGCCAGATAGTTCTTGGTTGTGGGGCTGTCCTGTGCAGTGTAGGACTTTTAGCAGCATCTCTGGTCTCTAACCACTAGATGCCAGTAGCACCATTACCCCCATTTGTGACCATCGAAAATGTTTCTAGATGTTACCAAAGGTCCCCTGGCGGGCAAAGTCACTTCCAGTTAAGAACCACTGATGTAGCTGTTCAAAGAAATGGGCTCTTCAGGAAGATTGTCTCTCTTTACCTTACCTTCCTTGCTTGGCCCCAGGCGGTTTTACAAAACACCCCCACCCAAATGAACCCTCCAGCTACCAGCATTGCTTCCCCAGCTGCTTGGACTCCTCTGTCACAGGACCCCACCCTAATAAAATGATGATAGCTATCTGTGTGAGATAGCAGCTCCTGATCTCAAAAGATATGGAAGTTCCTTTGTAAAATGCTATACAAATGTTAGTTACTATTTTTACTTCCTGAGGGTATTTTCATTTTAAAAGAGGGTGGACCCTATGGCAAATAAAACATTTATTCTCTGGTGAATAGAGCCATTCCCAGAATCCCCAAAGCACCCAAATAACTGGTCTTGTGTGCAAAAATTGAAGGGTGGCCGAACGAGTGGAAGGTATAGAAAATGGAGGAAAGGCGATTGGATTTGAGTTTTAGCTTTGATGCTAACTAGTTCTGTGATGAGTGACAACTTTCCTGGGCTTAAATTTTCTCATGTGGAATATAATGAGTTAATTACTTTTTTTTTTTTTTTAGTTTTAAGATTCTAGTAGCCTCTGCATATGGAATCTAACATGAATAGCATAGGGAGTTAAGGAAATATAATATTCATCCCAAAATAGAATGAAATGGGTAATCTGTGGCATAAAACCCCCTGTCAGAAGAGTTGTTCATTCTAGTCACAAGGCAGTTCACCCACTGAGTCACCTGGCAAATTTGTGACTAAGTAATATTTTGGGTGAGTGGTGAAAGCTACACTGTAAAATCGAATGTAAGGTAGAGAGTAACCATAGTAAATATCATCCTTCTTCCTTCCTCATCTTGGCATCTGCTAAACCCATCATCTGCCAACAGCCTCTATCGTGTGTTTATGTAATAAAATGTTGTGCTATTTTATTTTATTAAAGGCTTGGGGGAAATATATTAATATTGCATTTCAGCCATTTGCAACAGGTCTGAAATCTCAGTTTTCAAGATTCTGCCATTCACAATTGTATGTGAAATCCTTAACTAAGGCTATTATATCCCTTTGGTTTGATCGCCTCTATGTGAAAGCCCAGTCTTCACAGCTGAATTAATACCCTGATCACTTAATAATTGTATGAACCAGATGATCAGAGATAATGTAAATTAAAAGAAGAATACCCACTGATTCAGATATGAGAAGTTATGAAACAACAAATTAGTAGGTACATTAATTATTAAATAAATATCTAAAAAAAAATTTTAAATACCAAAAAAACAAAAAGCAAACCATCAAATCATGAACTAATTTTTAAATTTAATTGTGTTTAGTTATTATTTTGATGTTTTAGAGTACTTGTTAACCTTTCATAAATCTAGCTAAAAATATTGTGTCTCTAAGCTAAGAAGGTCAGGCAGTTGTTGCCATGAGGTATGGGAGGTCCCGCCGTCTGAGGTTAGTTAGTGTCAGTGGCATTCAGTACAGGTTCAGTATCATCCAACTCAATTCACTTTAATAAATATTCACTCATTAATTCCAAAAATATATACTGAGTACTTCCTACATGCTAAGCACTGTGCTGTAGGGAATTGAAACAGGTGTCAGTCCCTGTCCTGCAGGAACTTATAGTAAGGTGGGGAAAGGGACGAGTAAGGTCCATTTTACCTATAGGTAAAATACAAGAGAAAGTATGGTAATTGAAAACAAGATGTTCTGTGGACTCAAAGAAAGATAACATCTTATACTAGGAGAAGCTTTACTATCTAATTACAGAGGAGAGGGACAAAGAAAAAGCTACTAGAAAAAGACCCACAATAATAGGAAAACCAAGATCTAATACATGGCTTTAGAAAGATAGACATAAGACGTTTTATCTGGGGCTGGCCCTGTGGCCTAGTGGTTGAGTTCGGCACGCTCTGCTTCAGCAGACCAGGTTCATGGATTCAGATGCTGGGCGCAGACCTACCTCACTCATCAGCCATGCTGTGGTGGAGACCCACCTACAGAATAGAGGAAGATTGGCACAGATGTTAGCTGAGGGCGGATCTTCCTCAAGCAAAAAGAGGAAGATTGGCGACAGATGTTAGCGCAGGACAGATCTTCCTCAACCAAAAAAAAAAAAACAAACTTTTTATCAATTTGAATGACTGAGTGAAGTACACAGAGAAAAGCATGAGCTTGTTATGGGAACAGCAAGTGGTCAACAATGACTTCAGGGTAGGATATTCAATATTTAGGATGCTAGTCATTTATCACAGTTTTATTAGTACTCTTCTTGGCTGGTCCTGTGGTAGGCTGGGGATGTGTAGACTAATAAAACATGGTCCAAGAGAAATTCTCTTTTGGAGAGAGGAGGTAGGCAAATTTGGAGCTTGGAAAATTTTCTAATGAAGGAAATATCAAGACTGAATGCCAAAAGAAAGGAAATCAAGTTTGTTCTCCTTGAAACGGGCTATGAAATTACCCATATTTTTCCTCACCAAGCTCCCAATCAAATCTCTATCCTGTTTGTGACACAAATCTCAGCTGCCACTTTAATTCAGATCCATAGGTGAATCCCTGTGACTGGGTCTGGGGTGGTGTCTGTGCTGAACTCCAAAGAGTTGAACTCTGATGCCTCTTCTCTCCTCTCTCGGCCTTGCTCTGAGATTTAACGCCACCACTGCTTCAAAACAGCCTTTGTCAAGGTCACCGGTTAGAGCCACTTTGTTAAATGCAAAGGTCGTTGTTCAGTCCTCATCTTCCTTGACCTGCCAGCAGCCTATGATGCCGTTGAGCACTTTCTACATTTGTCTTCCGAGCTCCTGAAACACTGCTATAGCCTCTCTTCCTACCCTCTGGAACTTCCTTCTCAGTCTCCTTTGTTGATTCTTCTTTATCTTCCTGAAGTTGGAATGTCCCAGGGCTCTGAATTCAGTATTTTACTTCCCTCTATCTGGATTTGAATTCCAGATTACCACTTGCTAGCTGTTTGATCAGAAGAAAGTCAATTTCTCCAGAGATTCAGTTTCCTCATTACAAATTGAGGATAATAAAAGTAGCTACCTCCTACAGTGGTTGTGAAGACTAAGTGAATCTCCATATGCCCAGCACTGTATGCATTAACTATCATGTTCTTTATCACTCACTCCCTGCATGATTTCCTCTGGTCTCAGTGACTTTAAATTCCATCTATACGCTGTCAACTCTAAATTTATCTCTAGCCTGAACTTCTGCCCTAAACTCCAGAATCATATATTCAACTGTTGGCTCAGCATCTTCATTTGAATTTCTAATGGGCAGTACAAATTTAACATGTCAGAACTTTTTGTTTTTGTCCAGTTTTCATTTCAGTATATGGTAAATGCCACTATTTAGTTGTTCAAGCTTTCTTTCACACTGCACATCCAATCCATCAGGAAATCCTTTTATTTCTTTCTTTTTTTTTTTTTTAAGGTTTTCTTTGTTTTATAATTTTATTTATTTTTTCCCCCAAAGCCCCAGTAGATAGTTGTATGTCATAGCTGCACTTCCTTCTAGTTGCTGTGTGTGGGACGCGGCCTCAGCATGGCTGGAGAAGTAGTGCATCGGTGCGCGCCCAGGATCCGAACCCGGGCTGCCAGCAGGGGAGTGTGTGCACTTAACCACTAAGCCACTGGGCCGGCCGGAAATCTTTTTATTTCTACCTGCAAAATATATCCAGAATCTAACCACTTCTCACCAACCCCACTGCTAAAACCCTACTCCAGGACACCATCATCTTTTGCTTGGATTACTGCAATAGGCTCTTTCCCACCCGTATTTTCTCTTCTCAATCCTGTAGCCAGAGTGATCCTGCAGAAATAAATGTGAGGCCAACTCACTGCTCTGCTCAGTAGTCTCTGGCCCAACATGATCTCCCTGACCTCAATTCTTACTACTCCTTCCCTTTCTCATTTCACATCAGCCACACTGGCACCTTTGCTGCTCCTCCCGTATTCCAACAGCTTCAGCCTCAAAGCCTTTGCATTTGCTATTTCTTATGCCTGAAATATCCACTCTCCACATGCCTACTCTCCCTCACTTCCTTTAGGTCTCATTTCAAATGTTATCAGTGAGGCCTGTCCCATTCTAGATAAAATAGCAGCATTTCTCATGCCCCACTCCCTAGCACTCCTTATCCCCCTTCTCCAACTTTATTTTTCATTGTATTTATTCACCATCTGACTTATTGTATACTTATTATC